GACGACTTAGAGTCTTTCTCTATTATTTCGTACTTGTCTCAATTGGTGTGTCCGTTATTGTGTCCGGTGTTGTTATTTTGGCATCTATTGTTATGTGCGTTGTTGTATCCGTTGTGTAAGTTTGATAGGTTGTTGTGTCCACTGCTGCGTCTGTTGTTGTATATGCTATTTCATCTGTTACTGAGGCTGTTGTTGAATCTGAAAAAAAGGAGGGAACGCTGTGCAATATTAATGTGGCAAAAGTAAATTCTAAGTATTAAATAAGACAAAAATAATCAACCAATCTCAGCGTCATATTTTATCATTAGAGCGCAAGCTCTCATATTCGAGCGGGCAAGACTCAATGAAAGTCGGTTAATGTTTCTATCACCAAACCTAGTGTATTCGTCACATAAATAATGTCATTTAATTATACGGTAACCTCTTTAAAAACATGAACCAGTAATAAATAAACACTATAATCTGAGCAAAATCACGTTCCGAAACAGCGTTATAGCCTTATATAATGTTTGCAATTCCGCTGTATTGTTTCTCCACTATATAACATTTACTGATGGGATATATATATATTACGTCAACTTGTTATCCATAAACCGAAAGGTCCACTGATTAATCTCAGATAAGAAAGTATAATACATACTCCAAGTATTGAAATACACGCCATCGTGTTGGGATTCAATATTTCGACATTAATTATGTCATCATCAGGAATTCCTGATGATGACATAATTAATGTCGAAATATTGAATCCCAACACGATGGCGTGTATTTCAATACTTGGAGTATGTATTATACTTTCTTGTTATCCATCTGTTTATTACCGAGTATTCGGTACGATAACACGTCAGGTATGGCAAAACATCTCTCCTATGGTATTTTCCTGATGCAAATTCATATTTTGATAGCACTTGCAGTAACCCGCTTCTACTAGGGGATCGGATTCATCAATAGCCACCAAGCGCAAGCTCGGTGGTCTAGTGGTTAAGACATCAGGCTAGTTACCTGGAGGTCGTGTGTTCGATCCCCCCACCCCCACCCCGGATCACTTGCGTCAACGTGTTATCCATCTGTTTATTACTGAGTATTCGGTACGATAACACGTCAGGTAGGGCAAAACATCACTCCTATGATATACGGTATATTACGTACAACAATGAGTCTTTTGTAGCCTTTAAAAGCAATAGGAAGAATAAAATGTTATAGGCTTAATCAATACATTATTTGACTCCCTTCTGAATTTCAACTTCATACTTTTCTATTACCGTCCGGTTACTGTATATTATTATTATTATATATATATATATATATGCATGGTATAACACCATTGGAATGTTTTCGTTAGGTACCGTAACGAAAAACAATGAATCACATGCAGACTTTGGTGAGGAGAAACGCTTCCACCACGCCATACGCAATTCAGCACAATGACGCTGCGATTTATGAGTTTTTCTTCTACCTACTTTTACCTTTATCCGTAGTCGTTGTTTTGTTTGTTGTCCCATGTACGTAGTTGTTTCCAGTTATTGTATTCACTGTTGTGTATGTTGTCTTATCCATTGTTTTGTTTGTTGCTGTGTCCATTGTATCGGTTGTCAAATGTGTCGTAGTCTCAGGTGGTGTGTTCGTTGGTGTATCCGTTGATATATCCGTTATTGTGTCTGCTGTTGTCATTTTTGCATCTATTGTTATGTGCGTTGTTGTATTTGTTGATGTGTAAGTTTGATAGGTTGTTGTGTTCATTGTTGTGTCCTTTGTTGTATCCACTGTTTCATCTGTTACTGTGTCTGTTGGACCTACAAAAACAGAAGGGAACAAGTATGTAAGAGGGCCTATTAATATGGCAAAAGTAAGTATACTAAATATTAAATATGGCAAAAATAATAAATCAATCTCAGCGTCATATCAATTTTCAACGCAAGCTCTCTGTATTCGAGCTGGCAATGTTGTTAAACTTTTGCCCGCTTCGCTGTGTGGCCAGACGTTTCACCGACAGACATTTGGCCAACAGACTATTGACCGAAATACCATTCACCTACACGTGATTTTGCCGACACCACATTTCGCCGAATGCCACTTTGCCGATAGGACGTTTCGCCGACAGCCAATTTCTCGACAGAAAATTCACCAACATTTCTTGTGAACATCTTAATGGATGGAAGTAACATTGTTAAATGTTTGATTTGTATTCGGTTATTTAATATCACTACTAACGAACAGATTCATTATTAAATCATGGTAGTTTGTAAGTTATATGTAAATAACATCCAGTGTTGTGCTAAGTATACAAATGACAAAAAGTGTGCAAGTCATTTTGATATGCGGATGAATATCCAGGGCTGTGCTGAACATGCAAATATGGTAAGTCGTTCGTTGTGTTGATTGGTGGAGAGTTATGAATAATGAGATAGTTCATTGCCAAAAGTCAGAAC